AAAAGGGAAGCATTTAAAGAACTCCTGAGTGACTGAACAGCAACAAAACACTCAACTTTCAGGAATGTAACACTCAGCTTTCACAGAATCACTGATTTCCTTTTAGACAGCAAAATGCAACTGCCTTAAGTAGGAGTAATTATGTTGGAAAATTATTGTAGCTCACCATACTAGAGTCTCCACTGAATAGTACACGTGATGATACTAAGTACAAAGTAGTACAAAAAATAATACAAAGGATGTGGTCTGGTGGAAGAAGTGAAAGGTAGCAGGACTGCAAAAGAGGTCATCCGCTTCTCATGATAATTTTCTTGTATCATTAAATCAATAGCATTCTTGTGCTGAAGGCACAGGCATGGGCTTCATATGTCTTTCCAGGCTGACCATGTGCAACCTCTGACTATTTTATGCTTTGATTTCTCATCTCTGAATTGTGACCATTACCCAGGACTGGCAAGAACAAAACAGACAAACAAACAAACAACAACCACAACTACAACAAAAAAGAACACAACTTCAAAGAATGCAAAATAATTTCTGATATTAGTAAAAATCTAGATAATCAGCAGTTCCTTTTTTCTGTATTTTTAGTGATTTTTTTCTTGCTCCTGCATCTGCATACATCTGTTGACTTCCCTGTCATACACCTGTTGACTTCAGAATCTTTGAGCAAATCAAGCCAAATATAGAATCTGAATTTAGCTAATTTCCTATACATTTCATGAAAGTAGGTGGCTATATAAAGAAACAGACCTGTGAAATATACCTTAGTAAAGGTAAAGCTGCAGCGTGTGATCCTCATTTAGTTCCAGAGAATCCATAAACACAGTGGATTTAGGGAAATATATTTTCACTAGAGACTGAATCTGTGCCAAATTCAGCTCACAACAAGAGGAACACTTATGGGAAAAGAGTATTAATTAGTTTTGCTGATCATGGAATGGTATATGTTCTTATCAGTTTGATTTTCTACAGACCTGAGGATGGTGTGGCCTGGAGTATCTACATGTTCCTACTGGTGTCCCCCCTTTGAAACAACTGGTAGCTCTGATAAGTGAATCAGCCTCAAAAGTTTAATTGACATATATTTCCAAAGAGGTGAATCTTATGGGAGAGACTATGTATGTACAGTCATTATTGAGACTGAATAAAAGGCTGATCCCATTCACCAGTGTCTAAACAATATGCAGTAATGCACAGTGCAAAAGCTTTTATTTCACTGTCAAGATAATTAATGGGGAAAAAATTAGGTGTATGCTAAAAGGGCAAAAACTGTTAGCATAGCTTAGTGAAGTACTAAAAATCCCAGAGGTTCTAATCCAAACATCAATAACTCTGGGTCATCTTTTTCTTTTTCTGCCTTTTTTTTTTTTTTTTTTTTTTTCTTTTTTTCTTCCTGGTTGCATGTAGAGAAGGAGAAGTGAAAGAAACAAAAGAAAAAAAATGGCAACCTTTTATTAAAATCAGTTGAAAAAAATACAAAACTCTTACTTTGACCAAAAATAAAAAATAACGGTTTAATTTCTAGAAAAATTGTAGTATCTGGGCTTGCATCCCCTATTGACTGATGTTAAATGGGACTTAGAACAATATAGGTAAAATGCTTACTATCTGACTTTGATCTTTCTACTTAAACTACTACTTTAATCTATTATAAATATTGTCATGCTTCTTGGATAATTTTATTTCAAATACCTGTTAAAACCAAGCACTAGCATTAAGTCTTTTCTAAGTAGAATGAAGAAGTCACTTGTTACATTACTTAATCACTTAATTGACTGTTTTTGTTTTGTTTGTTTTGTTTGTTTGCTTGTTTGTTTAAATGTCTTATCCTTCAAAGGTGTTTCCTCTGCCCTACATGTATTACATTAACCTAATGGTTTATTTGGGCTATTTTCCCCACTTTTTTTTTTTTTTTTTTTTTTTTTTTTTCTGTATGTTCTAGCAAAAAGCAGTTTCCTATACTGGGATTAAGTATAAACCTTGTGTCTTAAATTTCAGTAAAATCATCAAAGCTAAATAGTGGTATAGAATGAGTATAACAATTCAAGGATATTTCATCATCAGAAAAAAAAAAAAAGATTAGTATTAACATCATATGTGCAGGTTTTAGGTCAGAGCCTTAGCTAAATTACTGTAACTTCATACACCTCTTGTTTAGGCTCTGATTAGAAGTAGATTTCACAGAGATTTGGAATTTATACTAACCCCATATCTTTTGGTAAAGAATACATGATGCTATACATAGTATTTACTCAAATTAATTCATGATGGTTACAGTGCTCATGAGACATGATTATGCCAGTCATTTCAAATTCTTACTAATTAAAAAATTGCTGCAACACCACCATTTATCAGCAGGACCAATATTCTATTGCTGCTCATCAGATGGTTGAAATATTCATTCTGTCCATAGCTGAAAGAACCTCTGTTGGCTGTCAGTCATACACTAGCATATATAGGATGTAGCCCCATATTTGCAGCTTTCCCATCGATATATCCTAAAGAACTGTTTGCCAGTAACATGGTTTTCTAAGATATAAGTCATTGGTGTTACCAGTCAGGATCACTACTGTGAGGAAATAGAAAGTCAGGCATATGAAACTCTATACAGACAAAGAAGACTGAAAAGCAGGACTCTTGTGTCTTCTTCTGGTGATTACTGTGTACTTAATATGTCATTTACTTCCAGGTTTTGACTCCTTTAGGCAGAAGAGTGAACACCAGTATTTGTACTGGTTTCAGAGAAAAAGTCCATATCTATTTACCCAACTCTTTTTAACAAAGGTGTGCTATTGACTTCAGCAGAATCAGGACAAAGCTGGTTAACCTCTGACTTCTTCATTGTGACCCTCTTAAGAGGTAAACAATCATATTGGTCTTACTGGAGTGCTATATGACTGAAAATATATCTGCAAGAAAAACGTGATCCCTAGAAAAAAGGTATTGTATATGCATTACTATGTATACAGCATTATTTATAAATGCTTTAGCAAGTGGGTAACTTGCTTTGGGCTTTGTCTGAATAGAAGTTTCTATATAAATGCAAATTATTTATTTCTATAGTAATATTTGTTTTTCAGGCAAGTTTATTTTCCCTTTGTTTCCTAGCTCTGAACACCCAACAGATTCCACTTCACCTGTATTTTATTCAAAGTTTGTTTCACTTATGCCCACAATCTCCTTGTTCTATATAAGAAATTGCTTTCAATTACACATATATCACAGCACTTAAACATTAGTCTCACTTTCCTGTGGTTAATAATTCACCTTATATTCTAACATCCATCAACATAAAATCAGCATAACAACTTTTATGAATCCCTTTATCATCAACACATTCCAAATGCTTATACAATTCACACTACAGATTCACATAGGAACTGGCTTAATAGCCCTTAAAGTTGCTATAATGTTCACATCCTTTCAATCATAGAATTATTGTTCATGTTTTCAGACAAGACCCTTTTTAGTCATTTTATGTTATTATCTCATATTTCTTTACACCCCTCAAGCTGGATCTGCATCTCAATAAAGCTGGTACAAACTGGTGTAAAATCACTGTACTTTCTCGAGTTACTTTACACTCACACCAGTGTAATTAAATTAAATGTAACTGGTGTTTAACAATACTTTGTAGGAGGAGAATGGGAAGGTGGAGGAGGGAACTGATTCTCCATTAAATTTCTATAACCTTTCACCAGGTAACAGACTTTCTCTTATTTACATTTTGTTTATACATTTATTTTTTCTTAGTGAAAACATCCTAGTCACTCACATTTTTTCAGCCATTTAGTCACTCACATTTTTTCACATTTTCAGTCAAATAAAGTTGAAGTTACCGTTTTTACCTAGAGGTTGTCATTCTTCAAGTTCACTCTCCTTATCTGAACACAGTTCAGCAGTTCTAAAGTCTGACTTCCCCATCACATACACACCTCCTATTGAAGTCAATGGCAGTCGTCTGCACATCTGTCAGGATAATCAAGTCCCAAGTTTAGTATCACTATCAATTTAAGACTTAATTTTATCATTTCCATAGGCCATCTGGGCTTTTTTCCCTGTTGGAGTTTCACAGTGACTTTGTCTTCCTGTGTTTCCTGTTACTTCTGTCCGAATTTCAATAATTCATTCCCTTCTGAAGGGAGTGTTTTTCTATACCTCACCTTTTCCTTTTCCCTCCACTAAACTTTATTCCCTCAGACTATGAAAAATTCCTAGAAACAGCCACAAGTGAGGTGTGACAGAGAGGCTGCTGAGACTTTTCTTCCTATGTTAGTCATTGTTGGGTGATATTCGGTTGTAGATTTAATTAATGGCAATTATTAATTCATGAATTCATATTGCATTAGCACCTAGAAGCTCTATTATGAACCCCCATTGTGCTTATTAATGTACACCCACATAACAAGCTGTTAACTTCACATTTTGGGGCATTGAATGAATAAAAATGCAATTACAACTGTGACTATATTAATGGCCTGATTCTTCTTTTTTTGTTTTTTTTTTTTTGTTGTTGTTTTTTTTTTTTTTTACAATGTGTATGTGCCACAATAGCTCAATGGGGGTAAATAAAAAGACACATAAATGCATCAATATTCTAGATTTATAATGATGGTGGATCTTTGAGGATGTATTATCCTGGGATCACAGAATAACAAGACTCCACAACCTCTCTGGGCAACCTGTTCCAGTGATCCATCATACGCACAACAAGGTGTTTCCTGGTATTCAGAGGGACTTTCCTCTGCTTCAGTTTGTGCCCATTGCCCCTTGTCCTGTCACTGGGCATCATCCCACAAGGTATTTATAGACTGATAAGATTCCCCCACAGAGCTCTCTCTTTTCCTGGCTGAATGGTCCCAGCTCTCTCAGCCTTTCTTTCCTCATATGAGAGACACTCCAGTCACCTGACCATCTTATATAGCCCTTCACTGGACTCTATCCAGTATGTCCATGTCTCTCCTGTACTGATGAGCTCAGAGATGGAACCCCCAAACTGCTAAAACCTGGGCTTGAACCAGGAGCCTTTAGATCTTCAGTCTAACGCTCTCCCAGCTGAGCCACGTCAGCCCAGCCCTATGAATTAATATTCACAAAACCTGACACAACATAATTGTCTTTCAGACTTTTACAATTCAGTACACCATTTGCTAAAAAAGTGCAAACATCATTCTCCCAGTATATGTGAGTCTTCCACTTTACATGTGCCATGGTGACGGCATTCCCCAGAAGGCATGTCCCTTAAACAGAGGAATCTAATCTATATAATAATCTTTGATTATTCTCTAGATGACAGATCAATCTCCATTAATAATAATAATAATAATAATAATAATAATAATAATAATAATAATAATAATAATAATAATAATAATAAATATTCACTGCATCAAGACTGAGTTCCTAACTCTTAGAAGCAACTAATTATAAATACATGTGGGCATCAAGCTGCAGCAAGTTTACATATTTACATTTTCATGGTTGACCAAACTTCATCTATGATTTTTTAAATTTACACAAAATTATTGAATTCATGAGGATAACTCTAAAATAATGAAAATAAGAAAGCAATAATATCTGCCTTATACACTATTAAATAATTGGGAATCTGAATTATGTCTCAGGCCCATATTCATGTTCATGCTGGTCCCCTAGAGCTTAGGAGAACAGTGTCCTAATCATTTTACCCTCAAAGGAGACAAAGGAAAGAGAAGAGGTTGTGCCAAGCACAGTTTTAACCCCAGAAAGTCACATATAACAGATATTGCAGGACCACCAAAATTCTGTGTAATGTTTGTAATGGAGAAATTTCTTCTCTATGGTGTTGGTTAAGTGTAAAAAGGATGATGATGGTAGTTGAAATAAAAATAATTACAATGTATTTTAGTGTCCGGTTCTCTGACTGGAAATTCTTCTCCACCTGAGGAATGGCTGTTTAAAATGAACACTAAACACTACTTTGATGCTTTAGAAAACTCCACTACACACTTCTCTGTATATTTAATCTGTATAAAGGTTTGGCCTTTCTATCTAGGTTAGATTTCAAAATGATATGTAGATACCTGCAACTCACTGTCTTGAAGTGGCATCTTACTGTTATTCAAGCCATTGAAAAACCGGCCATCTGGAATTTAGACTCCTGTAAGAATAATTACCTTTCAGAAAATTTTAAGGATTGCCATATTAAAGTGTGTAAGGTGCCCAAACCCTGTGGCAACAGAGTCTCTGAGACTAATTTAAACAAGCCTATAATGTGTAATACATGCAATAAGTTAATGCTTATGTTCAAAAGACTGCATCTTCCAAACAAAGGGATTTTCGTAGGTGGTCATTTTGCAAAGCTTGGCTTAAAATAACATGTTCCTTAAGGAATAAATGGTCCAAATCATCTGAGAAGCCTAGTCACAACTTATTTAGCTGGTGTTGAAGCATGTCTTCCTTCACACTGCAGGGCATTTAGGCTGGGAAACAGAGTAAAATGTACAGATGGAAAGTCTTTCTCTGCTTTGCTTAGGAATGTTTGACAATGGTTACTTCCACTCTTTTAAATTTGTATTCTGATTTGTATGCTGATTCCAGGGTAATCTCTCTAATGAGATCTTTTGGTGTAATCATTAAGAACCTCACATTCTAATATCCAGCCAATATTTTAATACTGTGTTTTGCACTGGTCAGAAAACAGCATCATCTGTATATCATTTCCTGACTCAAGAGCTTAGACATGCTGTTTTCAGACATGGCTTTTTTCATAAAGTTGTGATACAACTGTTGTCTCACCTAGGAGCCCTGAGAGTTCCTGTTTTGCAGCAGCTGGAGAGTTTTACATCCTCTATTGTTCGTCTTTCCTCCCCTCTAGCCTCACTGTAAAAAAAAAGGAAATGGGATGTACACCGTGTAGGCCAGAGGCATTGTGTGAGATGCTACTGACACCCCTCCATTCTCCCATCTTTTCTGCCAGATAAGTCTCTGAGATGTCTGCCACAAGATGAGAGCTGGGAAACGGACTGCTGTACTCATAGGCAGGCCACAGGAACCAAAATGGACTTTGCTCTCCCCATCCTAATAGTTATTTTTTGTTTTTCCCTCTGTTCTTTCCCCCTTTTAGCTACAGCAGGAAGTGCATTAAAGAAGTACATTTAGGTCACTTCAGACCAGAACATTAAAACAAATGCTGATAGTTCAAGGTTAATAGATGCATAAAACAAAAGTAATTCCATGTCAAAGCTGAGATGACAGGTGATTTGACTTGAGACTGCCTTGCAATCACTCTTTTACATGTGCTCTGTACTGAGCCTAGCGGAAGGTGTTATGTTTCTGACATTTACTTGTCAGAAAGGTATGACAATAGAAATTGTTTCTATCTCTGCTGGTCTCAGATGTTAACCTTCTAGCTTTATTTTGTAATTGGGGTTCCACGGAGCTTTAACATTTTCTATTGATTCAATAGAAGAGATAACATTTCCAATCATAAGAAGGCATTATAGAAATATCAGGCAATTCACATATCAAAATGTTTGATAGCTGGGCTCACCACATTAATTTCTGTCACCTTTGCTAGGAACCCTTTATCCTCTTTTTAATACTGAAGGACACCTGAGAGTAGTTTCTGTCACTTTTATTGTTCAATAAAGTAGACAAAAGTTTCAATTAACAACCAAGGAGCCTCTAGGAAATTGTGAATGAGAGTATATTTTATTCATTTTTACTGTATTTCTTTTTTCTAATGTGCCAGCTGTGACTTCTAAGCCATGCTTCACAGGAGAGAGAGGGAAAAAAGTTGATATAAGCTTATACATTCAGAGGGCCATATTTTTTAAAACATCTTTGTTTTAGCTATGAGAGTCAGGTGTTACAAATATTTTTTATAATTCAGCGCTACATGTGGATGCCAATAACTTGATATCAGCCCTAAGATTTAATTCAGATACAAAGAAAAGGAAGAATGAGTATAATATATGGTGTATTAGGTTAGGAATAAGATGCAAGACTCTTATCCTTTGTAAGCTAGTGTCTTATGCCTGCATGCTATTTAAAAGCTTAGGTACTACACTTATACTTTGTAGTTGGCAAACAGCCAAAGAATAATCTGCTAGGTCTCAGTGCTATTTCTATGCCTTTCCTGCAATTAAAACTGGTAAGTTTGCAGAAGCAGGTGCCACAGCCAGGTTATAATTTTACCTTTGAAAATCCTTCTGTATTTCAGAATCCTTCAGATTTTGATGGATTAAAGATTTGCCCCAGTCAGCCATTCCACCAATCAAAGAGTTAATGGCAATATCCTTCTGGTGTCCTACTCCTCAGCCTGTTCAAGAGGCATTTGGTTAATGACCTCAAAAACATGTTTTAACTTTTGTTTAGCCCCGGAGTGGTTAGACTCCGGGACTTGATGATCTTTTTAGATTTTTTCAAACTGAACTACTGTCCTCTATTCCACTGACATACGCCTGAACAGTTGTTAAAACTTGGTGTAATGATACCGTCTTCAGCTTTGAAGCTCTCCTGACTTTACAACTTCCCCTTGACATGTCCCAGTCTAACATGTCTCAGGACATCTGAAAGACAATGCCACAGTCCAATCCAGTTGAGGTAACCAAGAGGACATTTTTCAAGCAGTTTAAGGGCCATGACCATTTAAAAGGATGAACTGGAAAGAAAGACCAGTAAAGAAAGAGATTATTATTTCAATTTTGTGTTTTCATCAATTTCAATCTATTTCATCATTTCAATCTATTTGTGTTTTTATTTTAAGGTCTGCACATATATTCTGTGACTGATTTTGGAGTCTAAATTATTTTTTTTTTATATGTTTGCCTGAAGGTTATAAAACACTTCAATAACACTGCTCTTACCCTTTCTTCTTCTCATTCATCTCCAGCTTGTGAAAGAAGAGAATTTATATAAAATTTCAATCCATCTAAAAGCTACCAATGTATAAAACAGGATAACAATTCCACAATGTAATAAAAATAAACACAGTTCAATAGACATCAGTGTCATGGAAACAACTGTTAAATTTCAGAAAGAAACATTCCTTACAGATGTATAAGTCTCCTGTCACAATGATTGTGTAGGATAAGTGAGAGTTGCAACCAGTCTCGATTGTTTTATTTTCCTTTCATTCCTATTGAAGAATGTATAAGTGCTGTGAGTAAGAAGTCTTGCCTGATGTTGGAGAAGCCAAATGGCCTTTTTTGCCACCATTCTTTCTGCTTTCTAAACAGAAGTTCAATCTACTTAAGCATAAAGAGAGCAATAAAATCAGTTGGTCACCAGACAACAAGCAACGTCATCTAGCTGTCCTGCTCCATAACAATTTCCTTAATGATTTGACAGTATCTTTCTTTTCACCTATGGACTCTTGCTCCCTCTTTGTTGTTTAATTTAGTCAAGGTGCCATGCATAGCTCAGGGTTGTCATAGGCAAAGTTTAGGTAGCAGTCAAAATGCCATCTATGATGGCAGTACTCAACATTTCTTTTCCATACAGCTTTCTGATATCAAAATACTCTATTGTAACATCCAAAAAGGATGGCCAACATTTAAACTTAATTATCACTATTGTTGTAATTGCATACCATACAAGTTATGAGGCCAATATTTTTGAAAAAGCAGTTTGTTGTTCTTCACTAGCCTCTCTTTCTTCAGCTCCTGATGGCTTTCATATGGCTCTATATCAGGCTGACACAGACTTTTACATCTTAAATGATAACCATCTGCATGATGCAACAGAATTTGATGTACCTGCAGGGGTGAAAAGGACAGCTTATTAGTGGTTGGACCTTTCTTTTTTCTCAGATACGTGGTTGTGCAATGTATATCAAATTGACTGTCCAAAACCTGAGACATCTAAAAGTCACAATCAGTAGTTAAAAGTGTTTTTTTTTTTTTTTTTTTTTTGTATATCATATTTTGTCTCCTTTGACTTTTAGGTTTTGTGACATTCATAAATAATATAAGGCCACTTATTACTCTGTGTTTCAACCTTCAAATTCAGGTTTGGTCGAGTCTGGGTTACTAAAACTGCTATCATCTAATTTTTTTTTATATAATAGTAGTAAAGAATAAGAAAAT